GTGTTATATTCCAGCCAGTGCATACACCACTGTTGCTTATCCACTCCTTGTGCCTGGATGTTTGGGTGGTTTAACAGCTGGCTGATGCTGTGCCTGGTTCTGTTGCGGCTCCACACCCTCCCTGATCTCTGCGATGGTTCCTGCAGACTCCTCGTCCTCAGGGCCCCCCAGCCATCCCTGGTTCTACACCTGACTGTCGAGGGGGAGCTCCAGGGAGAGGATCAGGTGCGCAGCCTCTGACGCCTCTCAGAAACCAAAGAGGAAATTCAGCTTTGTAGCAGCCTCTGGGGAGGCTTGAAAATTCCACCTGCACTACTTGAAACTACTAAGTTGTCAGCAGCTCAGAAGGAGACCAGGACCCAGGCTGATACGAGGAGCTGCAAAGTGGGATGACCCATGGCCCCGCCCCTGACCTCTGCTGCTGTCCATGAACCCTCCCGGCTCTCCCGGTCTACCTGCAGCTGACCTCACACCACACCGTGCACGGCTGCCCAGTGCCCTCAGCGGGGAGCATGCGCTCCTTGGCTGGCATGGCTGATTTGGGCCCAACAACGCTCCTGTCCTTTCCCTCGCTCTGCAGCTCCTGTTTCACCGGCAGCCGGGTTCTGGCTTCCGGCCACCAGCTGTTTCCCAACAGCCTGTGCTGTCTCGCCCAAGGCCTTGACCCCCGCCATTCCCTTTGGCTGCGCTGCCTTGGAGAACATCTCCTCCATCTGCAAAGAGGTAGTGTCCCCCGCAGGGCCACCTTCACGCCTCACTCGGTAAGCAGGGGCCTCACCCCCCACCCATAGCCTGGAGACCATCCTGCCTCTGCCTCCTTCTGAGGCCAGAAAAACGTACTTGGAATTCTGAACCCCTACAGCTGGGGAGCGCAGTGCCCCCCTGGGACCCCAGGATCACCCAACATGGGTTGGCATACAGCACTTTTGTTGAACAAATCGACCCATTAATCAACAGTCAATACACTTCAAGCCCTCCAACCAGCGTTCAGGATGAGTCTGATTCTCACCACTTTTCAGCCACAAAAGCGTACTCTCTCCTCTCAGTCTGACCAGCTCCTCTTGTACTTCAAAGACTTTGAATATATCCCTTCCCCTTCTTCTGTCCTCTTTTCCTGGGTTTCTATCCCCTCCTCAAACTCCTATTCATCTTTCAAAACCCAACTCCAGGTGCTCTTTTCCATGTAGCCTCCCAACAGCCGGGCTGAGTTCTGGGGCACTGCCCTCTTCCCTAACCCTGACCATGCAGGGCTAGGCTCTGCCGCCCTAACCTGACTCCCAACTCCTTCCAAACGGCATTGGGAAAACAACAGTCTCCAGCTGTGAGCCATGATTCACGAGTAAGCCTAAGTGGTCATGATGAAACCACTGTAAACAGATCTTTAGATTTTTTTTCTGCTACATATTTTATCTTTCATTCATGTCCCTTCCAAAGCAGGTTTATGAATAACTACATAGTATTTTACCAGAATATGTTCAGCGCCATGCAAGATGGCTACAATGTTGTAGTTTCTATTTTATTTGTTCACTTATTTCTTCCAGTGAAAAGTGACTCGGGGATGACTTTGTACGTGACTCTTGTCCTCTACTGAGATGATTCTTTTGGTAAAAATTCCTAAAGACACAATGACTAAGGTGGGGAGGCATCATTTGTAAAGTCATCTTCTGACACAAGTCAAATTGCCCACAGGAAGTAGCTATATGAGTGTGTTATATTCACTACAAATAAACTCATTTTAAATTTTATTTTATTTTGGGTTTTGTTTTGTTTTTTTGCGGAGGGAGTTTGTTTGTTTTTGAGACAGAATCTCGTTATGTAGTTCAGGCTGGCCTTGAATTCACTATTTAGCCCAGGCTGGCCTTAAACTTGCAGTGATCTTCCTGCCTCAGCTTCCAGAGTGCTGGGATGACAGGTGTGCACCACGATGCCTGGTTTTTATTCTGTTCTTTGAAACATGATCTGAATGTGCTGTTCAGACTGGCTTTCAACTCCTGGAGTTAGGCAATCCTCCTGCCTCAGCCTCTGGAGCAGCAGGGACTACAGGTATGTTCCTCCGTGCCATGCCAATTTAAGGTCCTTATCAATTATCTGTGGTGCTGGAGTTTGAACAGGATCTCATGCATGCTAGGCAGGTGTTTTACTGCTAAACTGTCACCAGCCCTTGATCTCTCTCTCTCTCTCTCTCTCCCTCAATTGCAGTACTGGGAATTGAACCCAGGGGAGTTTCTTTCTGAGCTACACCCCGCTCCATCCCTTTTTTATTTTTATTTAGAGACAAGGTCGGGCTAAATTGCCCAGGTTGACCTTGATTTTACAATCCTCCTGGCTTGGCCTCCCAAGTAGCTGAGATTACACATGCGCACCACAGTGTCTGGCTGTTGGGTATATTTTTAATTAGAGATTTGAGTCAAAACAAATAGCATATTATTTTCTATTTGACTTTTTGTTTAAATACATAAGTATACTGGGGGCTGGCCAACTATGGCCCAAGGTCAGAGTTCAAGCCTCTGCCTTGTATTATAAGGGCCACATGCTAAATATGATCCACATTTTCAAGCAGTTTAGAAGAATAATTGATCATTATGTTATGACTTGAGAAATGATAGGAAATTCAGACGGGCATCGGGCATCCCTAAGTGAAAGACTGAGCGCATGGCCACGCCCTCTCATTTGCATATCGCCCCCGGGCCCTGGGCTACCATCCCAGAGGTGCACAGCTGGGGGACACGGCTTGTTCCCAAAAGCCAAAAGATATTCTAGCTGGGTCTATACAGAGAATTCCATCTCTCCTCGGCCTCCTTCAACAATGTGATTATCACTCGGCGGTGTTGGGGGCAAAGCTTTAGAGAAATCCCTTCTAATAGAACTCTGGGTCTGTTCCTTTACCCCCGGGCGGCTTGGTCTGCTGAGCCTTTTCTTCTCCCCATTTTAACTTTTTTTTTTTTTTTTTAAGACAGCGTCTCACTTTGCAGCCCTGGCTGGCCTCAGTCTCAAAGTGATCTCCCTGCCTCAGCCTCCTGAGTGTTGGGATCACAGCCATGACCACCACACCTGGAGTCCGTCCTTTCTTTCTTTCTTTCTTTCTTTCTTTCTTTCTTTCTTTCTTTCTTTCTTTCTTTCTTTCTTCCTTCCTTCCTTCCTTCCTTCCTTCCTCCCTCCCTCCCTCCCTCCCTCCCTACCTCCCTTCCTTTCTTTCTCTTTGTGTTGCTGGGGATGGACCTCACACGTGCTATGCAAGCACTCACCACTCACTCCTAACCCCTAGCCCCCTTTTTTTCCTTCTGTGGTAAGGAGGCTCGACCCTAGGGCTCTTGCACTGAGCTACATCCCCAGCTTTTTGTTATTTTGAGTCAGAGTCTTGTTAAATTACTAACTTGCCTGGGCTGGCTTGAACTCATGGTGACCCTCCTGCCTCAACCTCCCGAACACTAGGATTATAAACGGCACCACCAGGCCTAGATAGAGGCTTTTTGATAAGAAAGATCGGAGTCTAGCCAGGAGTGATGGTGCACGCCTGTCATCCCAGCACTTAGGAGGCTGAGGCGGGAGGATTGCCATGAGTTCGAGGCCAGCCTAGGCTACATAGTGAGACCTGTCTCAAAAAAACAAACAAAACAAGAAAGCTCCAAATCCATTCACACCATGTAAGATAAAGATTGATTGACGAAATGTTGGATTGATGCCTGGAAGTGCAGGTCCTCGTGGGGGTGATGTAAAATCTCTTTCCTAACACACGGCTTGGCTTAGGTAAGTACAGGACCCAAACACATCTACACGGATTGCCCAACCTGCTGCATCTCACACGGGCTAAAGGAGGGTCTTGTGCACAAGGATTTAAAGTGCGTGTGTGAGTGAGGTCGCGCCTGGCTGGGCTGCCCCTGAGTCACCATCCTCCTGGGGCTCCTGGGGCCAAACAGAGGATGCCACGGACCATGGGGAGAGACGACGGAGAGAAGCCTGCGCCTCTCAGCCTCTGAGGACGACCTCTGAGGACCGGAAATGGCATCTCCAGCCAAGAGGAGCAAGTTCCAGAGAGACGTGAGGGCCTGGAGTCTCGCTCTCAAAGCTCCAGCGAGCCACTAGGTCACAGGTCACAGGTCACAGGGTCAGAGCAACCTAGAGCAGCCTGACGGAGCTCCTCTTTCCATACTGCAGGCTTTGCACTGAGTTACATCCCATCACTTTTTCAATTTTATGTCCAGTTCTTGCTAAGTCATTAAATATCCCAGGCTATCTTTGAACTAGATATCCTCCTGCCTCAGCATCCCGAGCAGCTGGGATTACAGATATACACCACCACCTCTGACCTTCTCACCTCTGGGGAGGCTGAGGCAAGAAGATCACAAGTTTGAGGCCAGCCTGGATTATACAGACACCTGTATATAGTGGCTGGAGATGTGGCTCAATGGTAAAGCATTTGCCTGGCCTGTATAAATTCCTGGGTTCAATCCCTGGTATAGTTAAACAATCATTAAATAAATCAAGCAAGCAAGTAGGGGGACTCTGTCTCAATTTTTTAAAAAGGGGGAGGGGGATTGTCCGAGGAGAAGTAGAATGAGTTAGTCATCCTGGGCTGGGGTTCCTTCCAGCTGGGAACAAGACACACACAGTCATCTCTCCAGGAAGCCCTCTTTGGTCTTCCCTCATTGATTCAGTGGCTTCCTCAGGGTGTCTTCAGGGCTGCCTGTGCACCCCCTATTACATCATCATCTCCCCGGGTTGCATATCTATGTTCTCCGCCCGGGACCTGACCGCCAGCCACTGCTGTATATCCAAACGCTGTCACAGCACTTGGTGCCAGATAAGGACGAATGAAGGAAGGAAGGAATGAATGAGAGCCCACAGTCTCTGTGTGGCCCACGAGTGGGCCGAGCCGCAGACAGCAGAACTGACCCGGGAAGATTCCCCGGCGAGGGTGAGGAAGGAGGAGCTGGGTTTTGAACCCACAGCCCAGAGCTTCCTGCAGCCCCTTCCCCGCAGGGCATGCCCACCCGGCTCACCGTGTTGTAGAACTCGGCCACCAGCGGCGAGTGCAGGAAGTTGCCCTCGCACCAGTCCACCTCGGAGCTCTGGTAAGCCAGGATGCTCGGCATGGTCCTCCCGCAGCGCCGGCCGCCGGCTCACTGCACCTGGCGCAGCCCCGCGGGCTTAGGGCGCCTGCTGGGGAGGAGGCCCAGCCCAGGCGAGGCGGGGAGAGGACAGCGGCTGGGCGAGAGGAAAAACCTGCCAGGCGGCTCCCCAATTGCACCAGGGCTGCCTGGCAGGTGCTACCCGGGGACGCTGGCAGCTCAGGAGAGGCAGAGCTGGGCAGGCAGGAGGCCACGGCCTGGCTCTCTCCAGGAGTAGGAGTTGGGGTGCTGACAGTTTTTTCCAGGGCATCCCCTGAGGCCAGGAACATCACTGTCCCCATGTGACAGCTAACCGAGGCGGGGGAGCAAAGGCACTTGGTTGACACAGGCTGACAAGGACTCAGATTTTTTTGTACTTTGTTTTTTAGGCAGTACCTGGCTATACAGCCCAGCCTGACCTTGAACTCATGGCGACCCTCCTGCCTCAGCCTCCCGAGCACTGGGATTACAAACCCCGGCTACCACACCCAGCAAGGGACCCAGGCTCTTAACTGCTGGGCTGGATACCGCCCCAAACCCCCTCACCATTTCTGCTATCAAGGTCTGCGGCTGGACAGCCACTGTGATGGGGTTGGCTTGGCCCGCTGGAGCCTCCAGCTAAGTAAACTCACACTGTCACTACCCCTTTGGGAAGGTCTCCCTGTGGGTGCTATGCAAAGATGGATTGGTTTGAAGCCATCTCTCTTACGGGCCAAGACTGTATGTCTGCTGGCTGTGTTGTTACATACCCGTTATCCCAGGACTCTAGAAGGCTGAGGCAGGAGGATCTCAAGTTTAACCCCAGCCTGGGCAACGTAAGAGATTTAGTGAGATTCTGCCTCAAAACCAAATTTTTGGAGGGGGCTGGGTACAGTGGTGCACATTTGTATTTCTAGCACTTGTGAGAGTGAGGCAGGAGGATCACTGCCAGTTTGAGGCCAACCTGAATTACATAGTGAGATCCTGTCTCCAAAAAAAACCCAAAATTAATTAATTAATTAATAAAAAGAAATGAAGTTGGGGTTGGGTGTGGTGGCACATGCCTGTAATCCCAGCATGCAGGAGGCTCAGGCAAGAGGACTACAAGTTCAAATACAGCTGAGGCAATTTAGTGACTTAGTGAGCTCTTGTCTCAAAAGAAAAAATTACAAAGGTCTGGGGATGTCATTCAGTGTTTCCCGGGTCCATTTTTTCCTAGCTCAGCCAACCAGTAAGAAGTAGCATACAGCAGGCCACATCACTCCTGAGCCTACTTTCCCCACTTATAAAATGGCAGTAGCAATGATACCCGCTAAGAATTTTTTTTTTTTTTTTTTTGCATTGAACCCAGAGCCTTTGCACTGAGCTGCAATCCTAGCCCTTTCTTTATTTTTCATTTTTTAAACTTTGGGATAGGGTCTTGCTAAATCTCTCAGTTCCTTGCCAGGTGTGGTGGTGCACGCCTGTAATCCCAGCACTCGGGAGGCTGAGGCAGGAGGATTGTTGCAATTTCAAGACCAGCCTGGGCTACAAAGTGAGCTCAAGACCAGCCTGAACTGCATTGTGAGACCCTGTCTCAAAAAGACAAAAAAAAAAAAGAATCTCTCAGTTCCTCAGGCTAGCCCCAGAATTTGTGATCTTACTGCCTTAGCCTTCCAGAGTGCTGAGATGACAGAAACACCCAGCCTTCTCAGAGGTTTTTTTTGTTTTGTTTTGTTTTGTTTTGTTTTGTTTTTTCTGGAGACAGGATTTTACTATGTAGTACAGGCTGACCTTGAACTCATAGGTGGTAATCCTCCTGCCTCAGCCTCCTGAGTGCTGGGATTACAGGCATGTGCCACCACGCCTTGACACCTACCTTGCTCTTGGAAAGATGTAGTCTCAGCTACAGTGTTCCCTCAGAAGGCAGATTTTGTTTGTTTGTTTGTTTGTTTGTTTTGGTACCCGGTCCAGAAGGCAGATTTTGGTAACACCTGGATCTGCATTCAAAATCACGTTGCCATGGAGCGGATGCCCATTCCCTTTCAATAGCTGGAGAGGCTCCTTCAGAGCTGGTGTGCTTTCAGCCTCTTGACACTTAGTCTGTTTGTTGGACAAAACCTTTCAGCAAGCCTGGCCTGGTGATGCTTGTCTGTAATCTCAGCTACTCAGGAAGATGAGGCAGGAGGCAAATGAGTGAGACCCAGTCTCAAAAATTTGTTTAAAAAGTTGGCTTGTGTGAAAATAGTTATGTATTGCAAACATATACTAATTTTTTTTAAAGGCAAGTGTGTTTAGTTTAGTTTAGTTTAATTTAGTTTAGTCTAGTTAGTTTTTGAGTCAGGGTCTCACTATGTTGCCCAGACTGACCTTAAACTCACAGAGATCCTCCTGCTTCAGCCTCCCAACTGCTAGGATTACCAGCATGTGCCACTTCATCCAGAACAAGAAAAGAAAAAAAAAAAAAGGAAGAAGTATGGGCACCCCTGTCATCCCAGCACGCAGGAGGCTGAGGCAGGAGGATCATTGTGAGTTTGAGACCAGCCTGGGCTACAAAGTGAGCTCAAGGCCAGCCTGAACTGCATAGTGAGACCCTGTCTCAAAAAAAACAAAAAACAAACAAACAAAAAGGGACCTTTTGGCAGACAACAGTATCCAGTTAGCAGTAGTAACATAAGTTGTTTACAACCTATTTCTCTTTAAAGCCGGCTCTCTGCACAGCAGGTCCTATCATTTCCATTCCTGGAAGGATTGCAGAATTTCTAAAACAAATTACTGGAGGCCTGGGATGTAGCTCAGCAGCGCAGCACCTGCCTGACAAGCGCAAGACCAGACCCTGAGTTCAGTTCCCAGTACCAAAAAATAAAAGAAATTCTTAAAATGTACTGAAGCTTTATCAGTACAGCCGGGGCTGACTCTAGAAATCCGTGCAGGGGATGCAGTTGCGCAAACACAGGAAGCCATGGCTGAAGCTGTTGCAATGTGAATGGAGTCTACAGATCACACGAATGCAAATTTTCTGGTTTTGAAATTGTGTGGTTGTGTAAGACGTCACCATTGGAGAGATTTTTGTGTGGGCGTAAGGGGTGGCTGTGTGCCACTGTTCCTTCATCGGCTGTTTGCCTGCTACAGTAGTGGGGACGGGGCCCAGGGTCGCACACATTCCAAGCTCTTGCCTCGGCCCTCAGCTACACCCCCAGCCTCTTATTTTTATTCACTGTATTTTATTTATTTACTTCTTCCTGCTGGGGATGGGACTTGGCTGCACACGTCCTAAGCACGTGCTCTGCCAAGCTCTATCCCTCAACGCCTGCGCTATTAGTGCGATTTTGAGGAAATTTATACCTACTCCAGACTAATTTGGTTGTGAGGCATGCTCTCACTAAGTCACTAAATTACCCTCGTCCCAAAATTGTGGTCCTCCTTCCTCAGCCTCCCATACAAGGACTCCAGGCATGCACCACTATGCCTGGCTAGTCAACAAACAAACAAATAAATACAGCAATTAATGAACTTCTTGTTTTGTTTTGTTTTGCTTTTGTTTTTGAGACAGTGTCTGCCTATGTATCTCAGGCCAGCCTTGAACTCACTATGTAGCCCAGGTTGGCCTCGAACTTGCAGCAATCCTCCTGCCTCAGCCTCCCAAGTGCTGGGATTACAGGCATGCGCCACCACCCTGAGCTCGTTTTTAATCAACATGTGAGTGGAGAAACAAAATGTGATATGTCCAAACAATGGAATATAAACAGAGAAGAAAATTCACCACGCTCACTGGCATATATACCTATAATTCCAGCTACTCAGGAGGTTATGGCAAGAGGATTACAAGTTTGAGTCCAGCTTGGGCAAGTTAGCAGACTGTGTTTCAAATTTAAAAAAAAAAACAAAACCCAAACAATTAAAAAGGGTTGGGAAGCTGGGCATGGTGACGCATGCCTGTAATCCCAGCACTCGGGAGGCTGAGGCAGGAGAATCGTTGAGTGTTCGAGACCAGTCTTGGCTACAAAGTGAGCTCAAGGCTGGCCTGAACTGCATAGTGAAACCCTGTCTCAAAAAGACCAAAAAAAAAAAAAAAAAAGGGATGGGAATATAGCCTAGTGTAGGAGCATCCCTGGGTTCCATCCCAAAAAATTTCCTCCAGGAAAGAAAAAGAGAAATTTCTACATGTGTTCTAACATAGATGAACCACCAGGCCCTGTTCTGTTTGCTATATTTTTTTCTTTCTTTTTTTGTTTGTTTGGTTCTTTTGGTTTGGTTTGATTTTTTGAGGCTCTATCTTGCTTTCTAGTTCAGGCAGCCTTGAGTTTGCTGTGTAGCCCAGGCTGGTTTTGAACTCCCTGTGGCCCTCCTGCCTCAGCCTCCCAAGTGATGGGATGACAGGTGTGTGCCACCACACCTGGCTATTTGCTCTATTTCTACATGCTTGGAAAATTGTATAATGTCAATGAAAATAATAGCACACCCAAGCATTATGTGGGCAGAACTAAACTTACAGCAGATTTGGAGATGTTGAAAGTCGGAAAAGCTCCACTTGCAAAGCTTATCCTTGTCCAGGAGAACAGAGGCTATCTATAACAAAGGTTATACATCTGAGAGGCTGAGGCAGGAGGATCACAAGTGTGAGCCCAGCCTTAGCTAAGTTTCAAAATAAAAAAATTAAAAGGGCTGCTGGGAGTGGTGGCACAGGCCTGTAATCCCAGCACTCGGGAGGCTGAGGCAGGAGGATCATTGTGAGTTTGAGACCAGCCTGGGCTACAAAGTGAGCTCAAGGCAGCCTGAACTGCATAGCGAGACCCTGTCTCAAAAAAAAAGGGGGGGGGGAGGCTGGCTCATTCACTCCCCAGTGCCACTGAAATGAATTAATTAGGTTAGAATTCAAATCTGCTAATGAGTCTGGCATGTAGGACTGAAGCAAACCTCAGATTGGAGCCCTATTTCAGGGAGTGACCTCAACCTTCCAAGAAATCCACCATGGCCTGGGGCAGTGGCCCACACCTGTCATCCCAGCTCTTGAGAGGCTGAGGCTGGAGGAGTTCAAGATCAGTTCCAATCTGGCAACATAGACTTAGTGAGAGCCTGTCTCTAAATCTCAAAATA